CTCAGCCTTGAGCAAAGCACTCGCGCTGCTGCTTGGGTAATGTCTTAGAAAGGCCCCAGAATTACTTTTCATGTAAGATTTCCGTAGACCACATTTGCATAGACGTGCCCTATAAATCCTTCTCAAATTTCCTACCGTAATCCTACAGTAGCGATAAAAGGCCGAAGATTCATTTTATGATGAAGTTCTAAGTTGAACCTCACTCTACAAAATGGGACCTCAAGCTTAGCGAAAAACATTCAAGCAAGAGAGATGCTGACGATCACAGTGTGCACACTTTTTTGGGACACCCTGTAGATAGGCACAGTCGCATGGCATTCTTTTCCATAAAATATTAAGGAGTGTCACTTCTATTGGTTATTACGAATTCTAAAAAGCGCGCCACTAGAAAATAAGTGAGGCTACCAGAAATTCCATGATGCAGTAGGTGAAAGGACTGTCACCAAATCCATTATGGGCTGATGGTTCGCAGTAAAGTATATATCAGTGAGCGATAGAAGGAATATCATTCACACAATACTCTGCAAAAATCAAAGATCGCATATTTTGCTGAAAATCTGTCATGAGGAGGGGGGTAGGCCTGCTGATCACGGAAATGATGTTCGTTTCGCAAGGTAGGCTTTCTTTGAGAGGTTACGGTAGGCATACGGTATGGGGTCAAAATCTCAGGAATAACAGAAGCTTTTGCACTGAGGGAATATTCGACATGCTGATAACGAATACCACACTTTTCCGCATCATAATGTCTTCCGATTACGTCAGGTGCATGGTAGAGAGTCGCACTCGCAGAACTTTTACCAAATCTTCGCCCAGGGAGGTTACTATTTTTTCTTGTTACGATAGGTATATATTGATTGTTATAAAAGTAATGTCTTTTTCAAATGAACGCCACATATCGTGGAACAAAGATTTGTGAGAGTTTTTGACAGCATTTGATGCAACATTTCATCCTCTTTATAACGGCTCTAATTTTATTGCATAATCTTATATACAGTGACCGCCAAAAAGTTGCAAACAAGCCTTCTTCCCTTTTTCATTGCTCTTTTTCAGAGGGAAAACGAGGATGAGAAAATGTAGTAATTGCATGAGGTGATAGAGCTCTTCAAGATCTACAATATACACTTTGAGTTTTTTGAGAAACATGTGATCTAAAAATTTTAAAAATCTTTTTCTCAAAAAAGTCCGAAAATGGCCGCGTCACATTGTCGCGGACAATAATTCTTCGAACGCAAAAATTTTCTTTTGAGTCCTATTTTAAAGCGGAAACACAAGTTATCCGGACGGGTAAGCATACTACTACTATACAGAGCTCGTCAAGAACTACACACTGGTTACGGTTGCTTCCCCAAAAAACGCAAGCTTGAGTTTTATTTCAGTTTTCCCAAAAAACAACTTCTAATTTCCTTCACCAAGCCAAATTTCTTCACACGGAAACCCGTTTAAGACATCGCAACAAAGCCGTCTGGATAAAATGGATGCTCTTTGCCATACTCTATACATCGGACGTGTGCTGATGAGTTTCTTGGCTGAAAATGGCCCTTGGCAGTGCTTGCACATGACCCCACCTGCACCTCACCACTGACTTGTACCGCTTTGCAGGCTTGTAGCTCGGCCTGCAGTCAATGTTTGAGCCTGCAATTAGGCTCATTCGAAAGAACGAGACTTTCTCTACATGAAGGTATGCAAATAAGTTCTGTTTGAGCAATTCCAGAGATTTGGCGGATGGGGTGGTAGAGGGCAACCTTAGAGATGATTGGAGTGAAAGCTCTTATGAACACCAGGACAGTCTTAGAGCTTCGAAATGGATCTATTACAAGAAAATTGACAGTTTTGAACTTCCAGGATGAAATTGGTAGCGAAAGGAGCCCTCTTCAACTTTAGCTGAAAAGTGCTTAGACTACAACTGAAGCTGCCCTCTACCACCCCATCCGCCAAATCTCTGAAATTTGTCAAACTCAACTCTTTTGAATACCATCGTGTAGAGGAAGTCTCGTTCTTTCGAATGAGCCTGATTGCAGGCTCAAATATTGACAGCAGGCCGAGTTACGAGCCTACAAAGCGGTACAAGTCAGTGGTGAGGTGCAGGTGGGGTCATGTGCACGCACTGCCAAGAGCCATTTTCAGCAAAGAAACTCACCAACACACGTCCGATGCATACAGGATGGCAAAAGGCATCCATTTTAGTCGGGAGGGATATCTTGAATAGGTTTACATGTGAAGAAATTTGGCTTGAAAAAGGGAATTAGAAGTTATTTTGTGAAAAAAAAGCAAAATAAAATTCAAGTTTGGGTTTTTTTAAATAACCACTGCCTGTTTATTGTCCTCGATGAGCTCTATAATGTAGTATGCTTACCCGTCCGGATAACTTGTGTTTCCGCTTTAGAATAGGACCCAAAAGAAAATTTTTGCGTTCGAAGAATTATTGTCCGCGACATTGTGACGCGACATTTTCGGACTTTTTTTAGAAAAAGATTTTTAAAATTTTTAGATCACATGTTTCTCATAAAACTCAAAGTGTAGATTGTAGATCTTGAAGAGCTCTATCACCTCTGCAATTACTACATTTTCTCATCCTCGTTTTCCCTCTGAAAAAGAGCAATGAAAAAGGGAAGAAGGCTTGTCCGCAACTTTTTGGCGGTCACTGTACATATGAAGCTAAATGTCTGTTTGCCTGTATGTCTGTCTGTGTGCAAGTATGTGCGGAATAGAAATTTTTATATCTGAACCAATAAGGGCTAAACTTGGCCCACATATTCGGGGCAAGCGGGGGGGGAGGAGGGGATAATTGAGCATGCTAATTACTAACACAGCGGGAATAGGGGGAATTGGCACGTAGAAGAGGGCAGGGAAAGGTTGTACAGGGGTAGGGGTGGGACCTTCGTCATAGTCTTTTGACAGGGCCGAGCGGAGCCGGGTAAGCCAGCCAATATTCTATAAACTTTTGAAAAAATACTAGTTTTCTAAACTTTTGTATTGATTCCTCGGAAGGGCACAAGAAACGGGTAGATAGAGCAATCCTTATAGGACACAAAACAACTTCTTCTTTTCCTTAGCTTGTTTAGAATTTCTAAAATTAATTTGATGTTATCAAATTCCATATTTGGTCGACTCAAACCTCACAAAACAACAATCGGCATGAAACCCTGGTGTCATTTGACACAGCCTTTTCTCTTCTTTCTACCAGTTGTTTTTGTTTCCGATTTATAGATTCCGGGATAAAATCATTACAATTCAGGTTTTCCCAGGCGCCCCACGCTGTACCCGGATTTTTCAAAGGTTGCTAATCTGAAGCGATAAATTCTCATTTGCTTTGTAAAATTAATCCATTTTTGTTAGTTTCAACATCCTGAGATTTATTGGTGTTTGAGGCATATGTGTCTGGGACAAGCCTGCTAAAATGCGGATAGGTATGGTGAAGTTTCAAATTTGCTCAAAAATTCTTTCAAAACAGTTTTCGGCATGTTGATTACAAATATCATGTTTGCTTGCCGTAGTAACGCCTTATTGTAAAGTAGTGTGATAAGCGTTTGAACAGAAACTAATTCTGCCTTTCAGGCCAGTTAAAATTCCAGAAAAAATGAAATTATAATGCGAAATGAATGCGAAATGGAATAATTAGTGCGTTAGGAAGGAAAGTTAAAGGGAAAGGAAAGGGAAGAGAAGTCAAAGGAAAGTTAAAGGGAAGAAAGGGAAGTTATACGAATGTAATACCACATATCATTGGCAGAATCATCAGGGTCACTCCATGATTCTAAACAATGGTAGTTTCAAGTTCCCGTTTCATAAAATGAAGACTATTTCTACAACTTTTTGATAAGAAACCAAGACCTCAACTTCCTTGATATTTCTTTTTGGTTTAGAATGAAATAGGTAGTCATTATACAAGTATAGTAGCATGCTGCTCACTTGTTTGTCTCACAATCTTATAAGACCGATTGAAGGTCTTTTAAAGATGATTGTGGTCTTATAATGCAAACATAACTGGCAGACCCGGCTCTGCTCGGCCCTGTCAGTGATATATTCGTAACAGCATGTTTACCTTTGCCAAGTCTTAGCTCTGAGAGCAAACGTTGCAAAAAAATCGATAAAATCGATATCGATCGGTAACGAGAAGGAGCTATGACATTTGCCCCGTCCCGAAGTGTGTGTGTGCAAAGTTTGGTCCGGGTCTGTTGAAAAATGGAAATTTCTACTCGGAACATACGTACAAACGGACATGCAGACATACAGATATATACCTAGGTATGTTTCAACGCAGTTTAGGCGAGAACTGGACTGCGAGATCCGCTTCGCAACTATTCGCGCCGTTTTGCAGTCTGCGTCTCTTCGTTCTAATCTATCTCGCTGAGCCAGTGGCGGCGCGACGCGCTGCTCCACTTGGAATGATTTGCCTACTCCGGGTTGAAAAAGGCTGCACAAACAAACATTTAGCTTTATATATGAGATGACTGAACCATTACGTTATATGTATGATGGTTTCGGCCAAACAACTAAATACTACGTAGGTTGTTGACAGCAAATAAACTTTGAGAAGGTAGAATAAAGTTACGGCCTTGTAGGAGAAGTTGTGAAAAAAACTACGATAGGGGATCTTGAGATTACTAGCCTTTATTTTCAAAGTTTGTCCCTTTGGCACAGATTTTGGTTCCCTCATCTGCAACCTGCTCAAATTCTGTGCTGAACATTGATGTCTTTTGGAATAGAATACCAAAGAAAAGGGAAAAATTGAAGATATGTGAACCTGGGCATGGAGGGAGGTCTTATGGCAAATAATTGCGGATTAAAGTCTTGTTACCAAAAGTCTTATTACCAAAAGGTTTGCATCCACCAAATTAGATGCTCAAACCTATAGAATTTCAATTATATGCCAGACACACTGAATGATCAACGCAGACCATGAAAGTGCTTATTCATTTCGTATCGTCATCTCAGTCACCTTATTTGGGAATCAAAACATTGCATAGCCATAAAATACCACACAGTTATGAACGCAAATATCCAGGACAGAATCAATGAAAATCTTGATCGTTGCGTTAATTTCACTGACAGAAGCATTTCTACACCCATACAGCAACGAGCTAATCTTCAGGTTTGTTGATATTCTTCGAAAATTGTTTGAAAGTGTTGATTTTTCAGAAGTGCGGATCAAACTCACATAAGCGATCTCGATCGTTCTGACGCAGGTTCGTCAAATGTCATTTTTAGTGTTTGAAGCGCAACGTTGGCATTTAACTTTGAATTCCTGAAAGAACCTTGAGGATGATGAATTTTTCAAGGAATTTTGAATTCTTCAGCCATCATGGTTAATAAAGCCCACTCACCTTATTTTTCGGATTAACTTTTATTTGAGATCAAAATTATGGTACGCCATGTTTGAACACTAAAAGTTTTGGACAAGCGCACTTATTTAAGTTCTTAGAGGTGCACAAAGTAACTTTGCTTGTTCACGTCAAAATTACTTTTTAGGATGCCGCGATCACTGCGAGGTTGGATGGACATACCTCGACGAAACGGACGCCTGCTATAAGGTGAGGGGTGTGTACCAATGTTACACATTGTTTCATTTGTACTGCAATTTCTGCATCGCTGCATGAAATAGCAAACAAATATGCGTTGACCACGTGATGTACCACTGCGTAAAATTTGCATAACTCCCAACTTGCTTCCTTTACCTCATATATTTATTTATTTATTGATACACTGTTGTGCACAGTGCGCTAGTACAAGACGCGAATGCCACCACAGACAAAGCAGTAATGAAACGAAATTGTGACATGCTCAACACCCTAGAGAAATTAAAGAGATTAATTCTCTAAACCAGGTGCTCGTCAGTGTTATCAAAGTCAGTGTCGTGGGGGCTAAACTTGGTATAAGTACAAGTCCAAGTACGATGCGTGACGGTATATAAATATACGGTCACTTTCGAGCAAAGGAAGAGGGGTGAGCACCTAGGCGGATGAGCGAAATCATGCGTACCCGGCGGGCAGGAAACCTCGTTCGGCCTACCCCAACAAAGCTAACATCGGACTTGGATACAAGATGATCAAGGATTAGAGACAAAAATAAAGCTACACGGCAAAGACGATGTCAAATTTAGAAGACAAACACTAAGCTGCGTATATAGTAAGAGGGCCTCTGAGGTCAAGAGCATGCCAGCAGAACAGCAATGAAGAAAAAGAAAAAAAACTGATGGAACAATATGGTCATACGAATGTATGCTATATTATAACCCATATAACGAGAAACTGAAAACAAAATAACAAGGTAATAGTCGATTTGGGCAAAGGGAACGTGGACCGAAGTTTAGCAAAGTTGTATCGACTGAATTGTACAGGCAGCCATGCAAGGACCCCTGAAATCAAAACAGACGAGACAACATAACTGAGTTAAAAAGGCGATCAACTTCCCAAGTGAAGTCCAAGGAGAGGGGAATATACAGTGAAGAGAGTAGCCAGCGTTAATCTGAGCAAGTTAACACTCTAAAAAAAGGAGGCAGAGCCAAGAATAGAATCTAAAATGTAAGAAAAAAAGCAAAGGACATAAGGAGAAACTTTATCTCAAAAGTACTCGGATTCATCTATTCCCAGCAATCTCAAAAAGTCACAATTAAGAAGTTTTTTTTGAAAGTAGTTGAATTAGGAGCAGAGAGAACTGCGTCAGGAAGCTTTTGTAACCATCGAGAACTGCGTGCGAAAAAAGAGTTGTAGAAGAGTGTATTTGGAACAGTAGAGTCAATGCAGTGGAAGCTAAACCCACCTGTTCGGCCGTTGCACGGTCTCCAAACCTAGAATTCACTAGGAACAATTTTTGTTTCAAGGCGAATTATTTGGAAGGCAAGCACTAAGTCAGCCAAAACCCTTCGATACAGCAAGCTATGCAACTTCAAGTGGTCCAGCCTACATCTATAGGAGGAAAGGGTATACGGGTAATCCTCGCTTGGAAAAAATCTGTAGTACAGTACACGGGTGAAAACCATTTGGACTTTCTCCACGGTTAGAATGTCTTTATTTAAGTGAGGATTCCAGACTTGGCAAGCATACTCTAATGAAGGGAGAACATAGGCCATATACAGCTTGATGTATACTCTCAAGTTTACATGCTTCAAGTTCCGTAATAAAAGGAATACTCTGTGTAAGGCTGCACGCGAAATATTCTCAACATGAGATCTTAACAGGAGCTTATGGTCCATCAATATTCCAAGATCTCTTACAAGCACGGGCCTAGCCAGAGATATACTGGAGTGCGTGTACTCCTTAAGTGTGTTCTCTTGCACCTGCCTTTTGGTGATGGTCAAGCACACACTTTTACGCAAGTTGACATCAATGCAGTTCAAGTCTGCCCACGATAAGATTTTCTGAAGGCAAGCACTCAAGGCATCAGTTACTTCGACTTTGTCCTCATCAGAGTATGAAGCAAAAACTTTTATATCATCTGCATATGCCATGACTTTGATTCTCCAATCAATTGATAAAAGGCCGGGTAAATCACTTGTGTAGATATTAAAAAGGATAGGGGATCTCTGGGGTACTACGCTGGTTGCTGAGAAGATAGAAGATATGGCTGAGTTGACACGTACTGAGAGTGTTCTCTCAGTCAGATAAGACATGAGCCATTTTAGCATACCTCCACGTATTCCAACTGAATATAGTTTCTCAATTAATTTGTGGATGTCTACTCTGTCAAAAGCCTTGGACAAGTCAAAATAAAGAGCATCGGTTAATCGATTTTGTGCCAAGGCTCTTTTCCAGTAAAAATCACAAGTAATCAGTTGAAGAGTAGTGGAAAATCCCTCCATAAACCCAAACTGTTCAGATGGTATGAGATGCTTTTGCACGCAGAAAGACAGCAGTTTTCTTCTCACAATCTTCTCAGCAACTTTGCAGACCACAGAGTTAATGCTTATGGGCCGAAACTCCGAGGCCTTTTATGGGTTCTGGACTTTAGGAATTGGTACCACTCTTTCGTGCTTCCATACTCTGGGTAATTCACCACTGCTCAAAGACATGTTGACAAGTATTGAAACAGGAACTGCTAACTGAGTGGCACATCTTTTATAAACAATCTGGGGAATTCCATCAGCAGTGATGAAGGTCGATGGTTTCAGTCTTTTCAAAATGTTCATAACATCAAAAAGCAGGACTTGAGGAACTTGTGAAAGGTATGACGAACTTTGTATCTGATTGGTTAGATCAATAGGAAGGCTAGGTCTAGAGTTTGTCGGTTTCTGAAAAACCGATGCAAAATAATGAGCAAGACATTCGGCATTCTCTTGTTCAGTCTTGCATAAATTTCCTTGATGATCATGTAATCCAGGGCCATGCTTTTCTTTGAAAATCAGGTGGGCATACTTGAAGAGAGAGGAAGTGCTCATGTTGGATAGTCTTTTCTGTCTATTTGCATTGAATTTGGCTAGGTGTCTGGTCAACTTTTTCACCACGTTTTTATATCTATCAGATGTTAACGGGTCATGGATTGTACAAAACAAGCGATCCCTTTGTTCTATCAAGTTCTTAATGTGAGTAGGGTAGTGGCCAGTCTCATACCTTGCTCGTTTCAGTGGGATGAAACGCGACAGTAAGTCGTGTAAAAGGTCGAGAAAGCGTTGATACATGTCATCAATAGAGCAAGAATTGTCGAGCAGGGACCACCAATCAATAGTGTCCAAACAGGCAGGGCCAAATAATCACCGCTCGCATAGTCAAGGCAACAATCCTTACAGGGAAAATCAATCGGCAACATAAGATCAAAGTAAATGCTTGCATGGTCAGATAACCCAAGCGGTGGTCGTATAGTCACATTATGTACCAAAGGCGAAGTTGACAGTACCAAATCAAGTACATTATCATTCCTCGTAGGATACAGTACATGCTGAGTGAGAGAAAGATCATCGAACAACTTGATAAACCTGGCAGATGCAGAGCATAGTGGCGTTCTAGCCGACCAGTCAATAAGCAAGTTAAAATCGCCAACAAGAACAATATCACTATGAATGCTACAAAGAATTTGCAACGAATCAATGAGTTTGGAATCATCACTATGAGAAGAAGATGGAGGGCGATAGACGAGGATAATTATACACTGAGATTGCGTCACATTATCTGATATTTGTAAGCATAGTGTTTCACTCAACCCCAAACTAGTTACTGGTATCTCTTCACAAATAATAGTTTCTCGGACAAATATACATAAGTCACCGCCACGCCTTTCTGGACGATCCTTTCGAAAAGTTCTGTATGGAAGGTTTGAGCTCAATTCGGAAGATTCAATAGAAGATGATAACCAAGACTCAGTTATACAACTAAATCGGGCTTATCATGTACCAAGAGAAGACGAAATAAATCAATTTTGCTCAATAAACTGCGGGCATTCAATAACACACATTTCATATTACGGGTACCATGCTCATAATTTAGTTTCCCTGCTTTGGATGTTGCCCTGAGCTCCCTTGCAGATCGGCGACTTTGACCAGATCCCCCTTGTAGACAACGTATGCTTTGTACCCAAGCTCCTGATTTTTTAAGCTGCCTCCTTACGTAGCTCATATTCCTTTTTACGTTGGTCTGCTGTAAGACTTGGCCTAATGTATACGTTAGAAAACCGGGGATTATTGCGCAGTAATTTAGCCTTGCTAAGTACTGCGAGGGAATGCGCCTTAGATGGGAACATGATTTTAGTCAAGCGTGGTTTGCACTCTGAACCCTTCCCCATCCTAAAGACAGAAGTAGGCCTGACCTCCACTCCAAGATCATCTAGGATATCGGTGACCTTGAATTCCAGACCAGCTTGCTTAGCCAAAGGACGCGAGTTAGATGCTAATTCCGGTATCCCGGCAACCACAATACTTCTCACACGAAAGAACTCTTCACAAATCATATGGAGTTGACCAAGATTGATCGCAAAGCATGGAGCGAGTCCATGACCTGCGATGGGACACGGGGGGTACTCTCAAGAAAAGTCGATATCGTGTGTAGATGCATGGATATGTCACAAAAAAAAACCGGGATCAGACAAACCAGCAATGAGAGGATCATCACTCAGAGTTTGGGAGACCTGAGACTGAGAAAAAGAGGCCTTGAATTTGTTTTGAGAAGAACGAGTCACAACCATGATAAAATCGACAACAAGATCGAGAGCGCCAAAGAAACACGACCGCTCAATGCGCGGGCAGTGATAAGAATGAAATATACATATAATATAATATATGAAATTGAAAATTTGTTTTATGTGTGCATTTCGAGCCGATCCAGACCAAACATGCTGGGTATTCATTCCGAGAGCAGATGCATTTTCTGTGGCTTAAATTCTTTCGAAATGTGGTTTTTGCCCATCTTAGAAATTGTAAGGAAAACAATTTTTTTGCTCTAAAATCCAGCCAGCCACAGAGAGCCTGCCTAAGCTCAACCTCCGATGTGTACACATACACATCGGGAAGGAACGGGTCGTAGGCACATCTACCAACATCAATTTTGCCATTTTATGTTTACATTAACTCATACATTCGTGGTTAAGTCACGTAAGGGTCTTACGGGACTTATAACTACCGAACTAAAAAGGTAATTTTGCGCGGGAACCCAATTTTGTCCAGAACTTAGGGTCGTGCATATATCACGCGATTTCATCGTCCGGGCTTTAAGGTCGGGACAAAATCTTGTTCTCGCGTAAAGCTACCTTTTTTCGCGATTTTCATTCTGTGAGGAGACTCTTGCGGGACTTAAACGAATGCCTGAGCATACTGCGGGGCTACGAACCGGTACAGAGCAGGGGGGGGGGAGATAAATGGATATTGATCAACGAACACGGGGCACGGAGCTGGCATAGAGAATTGAGACAAAGCCAAGTAATGTTGTGTAGAAGTGGGACGTACTGGTAAATACAATGTCGTATTGAAGGACCGAGCGAAGCTTGGTAATCTTCTGCCTGCTAGCTAGTAAACAATATGGTAGCTGAGCTTTCGCAAAACATCAAAATTTTCAAATTACTCCAATATATTGGGTTGTTTCAAAAGTTCTACCCGTTTTCGAACTTTGACTTTGATTCATCATAACTCTTCTCAGAAATAATCTTTGCAAATGCTATAAACTGTTTTACAATCTGCAAATCTTTTACTATTCTGAGCACTCTTCAAGATTACTGCAGTAACAGTGGAGAAGATTTTATAGGCGAAAGTCGAAGAACATTCCCTTGTAGAAACCTTCACTTTGCAAAAGCATAACTTGATTTGGAATACAGCTGAGTTGCACAGGCACTGCTCACAGTGTAGCCTATAGTCGACTGAGCAGTACCGCTAACTTTGGATTTCATCAAACTCTTTCATAAAAATTTTGTGCTGAAGAATCCGAAAGGACCCACTTATTTTGTTCTTTCTGAGACGGCAAAAAATGCAATTTTCTGACATTTTTGATGTGTTCGCCGTAGACAAACCAGGAAATCTTTTCGTTCTTCTAGTAGCAGTTGCTCTAGCTCTAATCTTACTATATAGAGTAAAAGTTCCGCGATTGCAATATGTTTATGATTTTTAAGCGACTTGAAGGGACCATGAAGACAGGTTATGTTTGAGCTAAAAATTTGTAGGTTTAAAATTTTTTTGAAATCCTATCTCAAAGAGCGTTTCGTAGCACAAATCTCCAGCAAACATTATATATGTTTTGAAGAAAATTTTCTTCCTTTGGCTGTAGATTTCACGGCGATAGAGCAAAGACGAAAATTTTTACATTTGTTCAGCTGTCTTTTCAAAGTAGCAACCACACAGCGAACAAAGATCTATGAAAAATAAAATATGCCTGAAAAACTAGAAGAAAAGAGCTTTTGAATGATATAAATATTGTTCATGAAAAATGGTTTTTTCCTCCAAAATCGGCAGTTCTAAAAAGGTATCGAAAACGGGTAGAACTTTTGCAACAACCCAATACAAATCATGTAGTTCATGGATCAAATGCCTTTCATCTTCAAAAGAGACATTTTTAGTGTCGGTGGTATACCATGCCAAGGCCAAAATAGTTTTTGATGGGTCCTCATTAGATCTGACGTTGGTTTAACGTCTTCTTTGTTTTCAAATGATTACAATAGCTTCAATCAATTCTGAGCAATACACCGCCAAGAGTCTCTTTCGATTTGTCAGCCTAAACCTAAGTAAAGGCTACCAGCGCGAAAACACTAAGGCTTCAAAAATAACCCAAAAATAAATCTCATAAAAGTCTGTTAATTAGCAGTGACACTGATTTTTCATCTATCGTTGTGTAATCTCACGGCTGCACATAAGAACCATGACGCTCTGTTTGAAATCGGTGTCCATTACAAGGTGCGCGGACTTACCTGAATAAGGATCATTGTCGGCTTGTTTACAACCTTAAACTTGTGCTCTGCTGGATTTCCGATAAGGTCTAGATTGACAAAGAGAGAGGACGCGGTGGTGCATTGAAAATCGTTAGGTCTTATGACCCATCGCAAACTTGATATAGCACGGCTTATCACAGACACATAAGTCAGTTCGAAAGGAGTAGAGCTGTCCTATAATCTCTTAAGTGAGGAAAACGGGGGCGTTCTTGCTCCCTCCGCTTTGCCAATTATGGTCATATTAAGAGATAGCAATCTGTCATGCGATAGTGTAAACCAGCGTACCATATTTTACCTGTACAGCAGATTTTGCAGTGAATATCTTAGCGCTTTGAAAGAAAAAGCAAGAATTACCTACATGGAAAATACATTGCCGCGCTCTTGGATAAAAGATCTGCAGTTTCAAACGACAACATAAAAATTTTTGACTTGATGGTCGTTATCTACCCACCCGGTGGCATCATAGATGCCGACAAGTTGGCAGACATGCAGGATTTGGAGGATGTGATTTCGGTTGTAGGGAACAACCAAAGAAGTTGTGAATGCTTCATATCTCAAATCGCAATCACAGCTACTACCTGCGTTTGGTTGAGTTGAGCGAGACACACCCAGCACAAAGTACTTATGAAGTACTCAAACTACATTATTTACAAACTTTATCGAGATAAGAGTCTCAAGGTTGTTCGCTGACAGAAATGTTTAAAGAATTTCTTCCATGCTACCTTTCAAAGTGCCGAAAACCTGTGTAAAACTTTGGAGGACATTTGGCTTCGATCCACAGTTATAACGAGAACCTCTTCGTGGCTGGTAAATTTAATTTGTGTAATTTGGACTTGAGGTCCCAACTCGTAATATTCAGAGCTTGCAAAATCGGGTAGGCAAATGACTGATCTTTGGACGCAGGGGACTTGGATTGATCTGGAACGCTATGATCATTTAAACTGGACCTGGACTGACGGCACAAACGTTGACTTTCTACTATGGGCTCCGGGAGAACCAAATAACTTTGAAGGAGTACAGAAATGCGGGCAGGTATCACTTTTAAATAAATAAGTCTCAACTGCTGGCGTAGGGATGCTTTTGAGACAATCAGGAGCTATATCTGGGTTGGGTGAACTTATGTTGTTCGGCTAACACGCAAAACTCAATCAGCCACATTAAGGCAGGTGTTTCTTGGATAAGATGTTCGTCTCCAAATTGTTTTCAATTCACGCGTCTATGAAACAGCGTAATCGCTCCCAGCTTTAGGCCTCGGACAGAGTACATGCGATTTAATCGTCGCTATTCTTTGCTACAAGACAAGGTTAGGCCTCGGGCAGAGTTCACGCGATCAATCGTTGAAGACAAGTGCTACGAGTTCATTGCATGCCGATCTTCTTGTATTTGGTTGTGATAGTTAGTCACGATTAGTCGTGTTGGAAAACTATCACAACCGAGATGCAAGAAGATTGGCATGCAATGAACTCGTAGCACTTTTCTTCAGCGATTGAATCGCGACGGTCAAATCGCGCGAACTCTGTCCTAGGGCTTGCGAGTTCATTGCATGCCGATCTTCTTGCTTTTCGGTTGACCTAGTCACGATCAGTCGTGTGGAAAACTATCACAACCGAAATACAAGATGGTCGGCATGCAATAGATTCGTAACTGTTTGTTTTCTCGGAAGAATCGCGGTGATGAATTCGCGTGAACTCTGCATGAAGCTTTAGATGGAGAGGGGCATTGCGATCTTGCGGACTTGGCAACCACTCTAATTTTGTGAGATAGGGAAGATCAGTGATTTATGAAGTCGTAATGTTTCGCTTGATCAATGGTTGGTGTGGTAAAACAAAATCTCTTTTTTCAAAAAACAATTGAAACTTCTTTCAGCCTTTAATAGATTATAAATGTTACATAAAACCTACGAGAGAGCAATTAGCTATCTAAACAGCTGTCACTGTCTGAGCATCGCTATCCTGCCCTACCGTTCCCTTATTTTTTGTTTTGAATAATTTATCGATTCAACTTTTATAATTTCTGTTTCAGCTGTGGCCAGACCCATATGTAGACAGATCCATGGCCTTAACCTATCAAAGATGGGACGATTTAGATTGTCACATTGAAATCAGATCGTTTGTGTGCAAGAAGAAGCCTTTGCACTAGTGGTGAAACAAAAACGCGTTTGATTGCTGTGAATGAAATTTTGTACAACAAATCTTACAAATAGCAGTAAATACTCAATAAATTTTTTGATCTAAAAATTTTCTACGTATATACAACCGCGAAGACCTAGTGAGGCAGGTTGAAAAAAACAGCTAGGGCTTTGTAGGAGTCGTTGACTGTTTGTTGTTTTGTGAGGAAAAAAATTTTCAGGTTCTAGTAAGATTTAAAAAACTGGAAGCAAACTCGCACAGTTTTTTCAATCCCATTCTAATAATAGTGGGAACAAGTTTTTTAGCAGAGCACCATTTGCATTCGAAACTAATGAACAAACACCCTAGAACTTACACATCGTAGCCTAACGATAGCCTAGGAAGAACATCTGTACGTGCAACAAACTTTCTGTGAATACATAGTATACCCGACCAATCAATAAATGTGTTCGGCCACTTGCTGTTTAGGTGGCCGAACCCGTACCATCAATCAACCTGCAGTAAAGCGGGCGGGTCGACAGGGGTCAGTGGGGTGTAAGCTTTGGCAGTCGTGCAATAAACGTTAGTAGCGACGTGTTGTGAGCTCCCAGTGTTACAGCTGCCCTATAGTGGCACAAAACGTGTGAAGTAAAATTACAAACCTTTGCACTAGGAGCCTGATAAGCCAATGTCCCATCGGATTTGAGGTATGTCGGAGTTGAGGAATTTCATTAATAAACCCCTTGTTATGGTCACGTCCAAGTCACATTACAAGCCCTCTCCTACGCCGAAAGAATTGGGCTCAGAGTGGCTCGCGCAGCGCATTTCGGTGCGCACTCTCAGACAGCGGATAGGACCCCTCCGCCGGAGAAATGGCAGGGCCGCGGGGTTTCCCCAGCGGTGGGTCTGCCACTCGTCCGCCGGAGCCCTCTTATTTCTGCTCCGGAGACCTCCCATTTTTGCTCCGGAGACCTCCCATTTTCTGCTCCGGATACCTCCCATTTTCTGCTCCGGAGACCTCCCATTTTCTGCTCCGGATACCTCCCATTTTCTGCTTCGGATACCTCCCATTTTCTGCTTCGGAGACCTCCCATTTGCGCTCCGGAGCCCCCCGATTTTGTGCTCCGCAAGTCTGCCGCGGCATACTGTAGTTAGCCCTAATTAAGCTCCAAACCCCAATTTTGTCTCTAAACCCCACCCAAATCAGTCGAATACGACCCCCCCCCCCCCCGGGGAAGAGTTCAGCGCGACCCTCAACCCCGTTCTTTACCCCCTCACCCCTAGCGTTTGTGGATAGAAGATAGAAGAATGAAGAAACAAGACATTTATTTCAAATTAACTACAAATAATCTCCTGCAAATTGCAAAACAAAACTTAGCGGCTACAAAACGGACAACACCGACAACAGTTGCCGGCAACCTATGGCCGTAACAACAGACACAAGACATAACATAAGACGTAGTAGTAGTATTGCTAATAAGAAGAACTTGATGCAGGAAAGAAGACCCAAACCGGTGAACACGAGATAGCAAAAGCACATATCGACACTTTTGATTGCAGGTTTGCCATCATTCCAAATGCAAACTTAGAGTAGTTTTTTTGCGAAAAAGATGGAACACAAACTTTTTGCATGATTTAGCATTAGATCCCACACATGTGAGTATATTTGAAAACAACTCTATTTAGAGAGAAAGTCGAACATCTCTCGAAGAAAAATAACGAGCACTTGCCTCGTCCTATCTCTATCAAAACTTCTGCTGTGATGTAGACCAAACGCGGAGAACAGTTTGAGAGTAAAATTTCCGGGAAATTTGAGATCCGAATCTTTAAACTCAGCCATACTCATGCCAACTTAAACACCAACAAATGGATACAAGGACAGAATGTGGAGATTAAACATGCCTTATTCGTCTCCGGATTAAACTTCGGTAAGCGATGTCGGGGACATGGCACAAGCTTGAAGAATTGTGGTAAAGAGTATAGAAAATTAAATACCTGAAGTACACAAAACTCGCAGAATCCGCAATAGAATCACAGTCTATGAGAAAAACCATTATCCGTCGGAATCCGGCGCTGATCTTAGCTATAGTAAATAGCTAACGCGACCATTAAAGGCGGCCCAGCTGCCTCTCGTCCTTCCTTTGGTAACGATTCTTCCTTTCCACATATAAATCTTACTTACCACATCATTAGGTCATCCTGAGACTATCATTTGTCTTCTTTACTCTCTGATCTTGCTACGGTACTGAAAATTCTCTTCATTCTTGGATATTCTCTCAATATACCATAACGTGCAAATACTTAGGGAGTGATGTTTCTCTAGGATGCCTCATGGAATTCATCATTATCGAGTTATCCCAATAAGTTTTCAGCAGAATATAAAAGGATTTTATTTGATGAAGTTAGATGAATCTCTGCTTTTCAAAACGTGTACATTGTTTAGGGAGATGAAGTCATCCTTACCAATGACAGTCTTGTTTTCCTCAAAGCAAAAAGATTTCGTAAGTGATACTTCTATGTCATCCATCAACATCAGTTGTTAGCAAACTCAGGTCCCCATCCATTACTTGAATAGGGATAGCGAAATGATTAGTTATATATAAGACTCAAAGGATAAGCGACACATCATATCAAACAAATGCAGGACCACTTTATCATCTGATAAGTAAGATCAATGAAAAAGTAAAAGGCAACCGGGTTGCCTTTTATGGTCGCGTTAGCTATATACTATAGCTAAGGTCAGCGCCGGATTCCGACGGATAATGGTTTCTGTCTATGAAAACAATAACGAGCGATGGCCGTAAAGTACAGTCGAGTAGATTTAGCGGTAAATATAGTGTGCTTGCACAGATGAAATGCGGTGAAATTTGCGCGTGAACAAGTAGCCACGTCAGTACCGCGGGTATCTTGCGCGCGCAATTGACCGACGTCACAGTCGAAATTATTTCTTCACGCGCCAATTTCACCGCATTTCACCTTTTGTGCAAGCACACTATATTTACCGCTAAATCTACTCGACTGTACCTGTGGATTAAGGAACAGTATCATGGTCTTGCTAAAATGACCAAGAATTGATACGACGGCTAGAGTCATCCCTGCCCAATAACAAAATCTATCACAAACAGAAACTCGGGCTGGATACTAAAACTAGGGTTTAGTGAGAAGCAGAAAGGGAAATCTGGCATCACTTACTTTATTGAATTGATAGAGAGCCAATGTACACGTTAAGAAGGATATCAAAAAGTAGAGTGACAGCAAATGGTCCCAATACTGTTCTTCTACACGCGTAACCTGAATGTGAGATTGATTTGATAATACGACCGATACCGATAGTCTATACGTTTACCATGAATCTTGGAAGATACGTAGCAGATTAGGTAATGAATGACGCCGACTCTGAGCGCACATACACACTTGAACAGGACACGTACTTAAATCTACACATGGCTGCGCAAAGCGCGCCCCATGACCCGGCGCCAAATTAGCCAGCGCGCATGGTTTACGATGCCGGAGCACGCTAGGTACTTTGAACAGTTGATGGAATCCACTAAGTCAAGTGCAAGACCAACGAAAAGTGTTTGACCGCCTCTATTCCCATGTTCCGGAAAAGCCCATACATGAGGAAGTGAGTGAATGACACGAGGATTTCTCAGTAAATCCTTTGTTTTTCGATCCATCGATCCGCGCACTGTTCTAAACTCAACGCGTCTATGCATGCCTTATGATGCTTAACAAGTGCTTTTCGCTCCAGTCACCAATCATCATATGACCGTGTCCGATGGCTTCAAGCTCATCCGTTCCTGCTCTTTGGAGGGTGCACATAGATGTGAAACAGCAATGCATTCATGAAAAACAGGCAAGCATCGAGAAATTCTGTTACGAAACAGACTTGATCCCTAGGGCCCGTAGTAAACCCCTCCTGGTTGTCACAACATAGAGGGACTATGTCGTGATAGCTCGGAGTATCTCGCAAGACTATAGCGAGCTATCCGCAGGGCGCCGCAAAACTAACGCATAAACACGGGATCAAACCACTGATAACCCCGACAACAGCGCCCACACTCGCTGCGCTATAAGTACCAATTTCACAGTGTTTTACTAGGAGAGGAAGAACGCGCGTAGCAAATGAAGCTGTTGTAGCAAAATCAGTACGGGCACACGACATGAAGTTTTACTTGCAATATTCCCAATCCGTAATATTAGTATTGTAGAAGTAATTACTGCCCCCGCCATAAGTGTAAAATTGCACATATAAAGCATTTGAAGATAATGAGTAGATAGTGCAGTGCCAGTGTCAGAGGCCAGCGTGCCAAATGGGGGAGGGTTCAAATCCTACTCGATGCCGCCTTTTGCAATTTGCTAATAGTTGAATTTTCATGCAAATGAACTCACGTTAGGGAATTTCCTGGTAGTAAAGAGGAAATGGCATTCAGAACAGTCAATGTTGGATGTGCATAAGAAAAATGAAAATATCATCAAACATTTACTACTTCAGCAAAATGTTCAAAAATTTGCTATTCCCTTAGCCATACCACCAGACGGTCCCTTCTCTCAAAAACAGAAGGGAAGCGAGAGGTGTTCGGCTAACGAACAGCAATTCAAGCAAAAATATGTGTTTAAAAATGCTAGGATAGAAGAAGAGATAAAAATTTGAGGAATTTTGGCACGAAAAAGAGATTTGGTGCGCACATGAGGCGCATTTGAAAGTAAAAAAGGAAAAATAGCACAAGCACGAATTAGCAAGCAGAAAATATGACCTAATCTACATTTACATCGAAAACAACTTACCTTTTTCTGAATAACAGGGTGTACAAAGCAGAAGTATCTAGCAAATGGAAGCGCCACATTGCTCGGACAGCTAGGCGCTATCAGCTACTGATATTGATTGCAGTTGACGTGCGTTTTAGAGAACTGTGTGCATGTGCGACCTATCGCGAGGTTAGCGTACTTGACCTCTAGTCTCGCGCTATGTCTCTGCATCTCCATGCTGGACAAAGTATTTCGCCGTCTCGTCCGTCACGACATGTCGCAATATGTCGCTATATGTCGCGATATGTCGCGACATATAGCGACAAAGTGGGACTACCCTGGCGCTTCGCATTGATTGCGTCCGCCGGCAATGATAAA